ATGCTACACAAGCAAGAAGGTAATTAGCAAGCTACACAAGCTATCTAATTACAAGAGCAACTACACAAGCTTAATATGTATAAAAGTAATTGCAAGCTTGTGTAATGGGAATGCAAACCAACGGGAAGAACAAGGTTGACACAATGATTTTTCTCCCGAGGTTCACGTGTTTGCCAACACGCTAGTCCCCGTTGTGCCGACGGCTCACTTGCTGGTTCGGCGGCTAATTAGCATCACCCGCTAAGCCCGCACGTCGAGCGCCGCAAGAACCTACCCCTTGAGTGAGGGTAGCTCAATGACACGCTTTACTAGAGTTGCTCTTCATGGCTCCCACGGGGCGAGCACAATGCCCCTCACAAGCACTTCTCCGGAGCGCCGCACAATCGTCTTGCGGGCTTCGACGGAGACCACCACCAAGCCATCTAGGAGGTGGCAACCTCCAAGAGTAACAAGCACCACCGGCTTACAACTCGATCACCTAGTGCCACTCGATGCAACCTCACGATGCAATCGCACTAGAATCGCTCACTCACACAATTGAATGATCACTATCAAGTATATGTGTGATGGAGGGCTCCCAAGCACTCACAAGCATGGACACTAAGTCCCCTTAGGTGCTCAGCACTTGCCATGGCTGAGGGCCACTTCTATTTATAGCCCCAAGGGCTAAACTAGCCGTTACCCCTTCACTGGGCAAATGTCGGGATGACCGGACGCTCCGGTCTAATCGACCAGACGCTGGACCTCAGCGTCCGGTCATGCGATGCACGCCACGTGTCCCCTCCTTCAAACGCTGTTCACTGGATCTCAACGGTCATCTGTCGACCGGACGCTCCAGCATGAACTGACCGGACGCAGCAACCCCAGCGTCCGGTCGTTTCCAGTAAGGTTCCAGAAATGACATTTCACGACCGGACGCGTCCGGTCGATCGCGATCGGACGCAGCACCAGCGTCCGGTCACTCTCCTGCTTCTATTCTACCTACGTCACCATACGTCAGCTCTAACCGGACGCAGGACCCCAGCGTCCGGTCACTACGTGACCAGCGTCCGGTCCACTCTGTGAGACCCTATCTTTTCTGTCTAGGGCGCCGGTGGCACCGCCGGTGGAGTTTCTCCTTTCGCCTCCATTTCTTCACCGAGTTGATCCACATCAACTCCAACTTCATCTCCTTTGCAAATGTGCCAACCCCACCAAGTGTACACCACCATGTGTATGTGTGTTAGCAATTTCACAATCATTTTCCAAAGGATTAGCCACTCAACTTGCCACACCACTCGATCCTAGCAACGATGCAAAGTTAGATCACTCGAGTGGCACTAGTTGACCAATATGCAAACAAGTTTGCCCCTCTTGATAGTACGGTCATCTATCCTAAATCCGGTCATAAACTTCTCTACACACATATGACCGGTGAAATGAAATGCCCTAGGTTATACCTTTGCCTTGCGCATTCCATTCCATCTCCTCCAATGTCGATGCAACACATGCACCAACACGATCAACAATGATATGATCCACTTCATATCATCACATGATCATATTGGTTCATCGATCTTGACTTCACTTGCTCTTCACCGTTGCCATCGTCCATCGACGCCAAGTCTTGCTTAAGCTTCACCGCCACGCGGTCTATCACTCCAAAGCCTCCGACTTGCCCTTCACGCTTACAACCGGTCCATCAAGCCAAGTCTTGTCTTGATCTTCTCCACCTTGATCACATGACTCAATGTCATGTCTCATTTGCAATAAGCTCCTTCATCATCACATGTGTGAGCTTTGCAACATCTCCAAGCCATTGTCACCTTCATGGCATATGTTGCTCACACACATGTACCTGTGGACTAATCACCTGTGTATCTCATATAAACACAATTAGTCCACCTAGGTTATCACTCAATTACCAAAACTAAACAAGGACCTTTCAACCTCTCCGGGCACGTCTACTCCAGCTCGTGTCGAGCACAGCCCGGTTGAGCTCGCTACTCCACTCTCTCACGACGAGGAGCGCATCGACGCGTACCATGACGGCGAGCCATTACGGTACCGTACGATGGAGAACCTTCTCGGCGACCAGCCGGTGCCAAGACCGGTGCCTCACGACCTGGAGGCGCAGTTGCACCTTGCGTGTGACGACGGCGAGCCTCGGTCGTATGTAGAGGCCGAGAGACACGCGGCATGGCGTGCCGCGATGCAGTTAGAGATGGATGCGGTCAAGAAGAACCGCACCTGGGAGCTTGCTGGCCTTCCTCGTGGTCACCGCGCGATCACCCTTAAGTGGGTGTACAAGCTAAAGGGGATGGGCTTCGAGCAAAGCCCGCACGAGGTGGCTATCTACCGACGGGGCAGTGGAGGAAATGCTCTGCTGGTGGGTGTCTACGTCGACGACTTGGTGATCACCGGCACCAAGGATGTGGAGGTGGCGTCATTCAAGGAAGAGATGAAGGCCACCTTCCAGATGAGTGACCTGGGGCCTCTCTCCTTCTACCTGGGAATCGAGGTGCACCAGGATGACTTCGGGATCACACTTCGACAGACCGCCTACGCCAAGCGCGTCGTTGAGCTAGCTGGGCTCACCGACTGCAACCCAGCTCTCACTCTGATGGAGGAGAGGCTGAAGCTGAGCCGCGACAGCACGACGGAGGAGGTGGATGCTACATAGTACCGGCGTCTTGTGGGGAGCCTTCGCTACCTCGCCCACACACGGCCGGACTTGGCATTCTCCGTCGGCTATGTTAGTCGGTTCATATAGCGACCGACGACGGAGCACCAGCAGGCTGTGAAGAGGATCATCCGCTACGTTGCGGGGACTCTCGACCACGGCCTCTACTACCCGAGGTGCCCTGGGGCGGCACACTTCGCGTCGGCATAAATGACAATGACCACGACCTTGGCGACATCGACACCGGCAAGAGCACGAGCGGGATCCTCTTCTTCTCGGCAAGTGCCTCGTTAGTCGTGGCGATCGGTCAAGCAGCCAGTGGTGGCCTGTCCACCGCGAGGCCGAGTACATAGCGGCCTCCACCGCTTCGACTTCAGTGCTTTGACTCGCTCGACCGCTTGGTGATCTCCTCGTAGAGACACTAGAGCGGTGGAGCCTGTGGTGGACAAGCAAGTCCGCTCTGCCCCAGCAAAGAACCCGTGTTCCACTAACGTAGCAAGCACATCCGGGTGAGGTACCACTTCATCCGAGGCTGTTTGGAGGAAGGAAGCATCAAGGCGAGCTACATGAACACCAAGGACCAGCTTGCGGACCTGCTCACCAAGCCCCTTGGGAGGATCAAGTTCCTTGAGCTCTGCTCCAAGACCGGGATGGTTCAACTCTCCTACAAGACGACGCACAAGACTTAGGGCGAGAATGATGGATAAGTCTCATGTGTGGCTGGTCTTTGTGGGGCTGTGCTGCTCACATGGTCCTTGTAGCTGTTTTCTGTTTTTAGGACAGCATCTTAGACTAGAGAACATCTTAGAGAACAGCATCTTGGACTAGAGGACATCATCTTAACTAGGACAGCATATTAGCATCTTAGACTAACATCTTGACATATGCTTGCCTGGCTAACAGCCTATAAATATGTAACCACAACCCCTCAAGTTGGCATGGCATTTGTGTGAGTTTATGTTAGAAATAAACCAGAAAATTACCATAACTCCTAGTGTCATCCTCTCTCGATGAGAGTAAGAATTCTGCTAGAGTTCAACTACTAACAAAATGTGCCTTTGTTAAACAGTTGGGGATACATTTCTTGCTTGCAGATTAGACTATTCGGACAGTTCTTTTCTTAAAAAAAAAGTAGAATTGAAAACTCCAGATGCTGAAACATCTACTCCAACTCCTCCTGAATTTTCAAGCTCCATGGATCTTCCCGGTCAGTTAAATATCTGGCCGCCCAGACGCGGTTGTCTTGACGCAATGAAATTGCGGTTTGTATCGTTGCCCTGGACGAGACGATGGAGCCTGCAAGTGCAAAGGCAGCAGTGCCCCTTTCTTTAGGAATTTTTGCTCAGATGGTTTGTAGCTTTGCTATCTTTGCCCGGACCACCAGCATCGCAGCTTTAACCAGAGGTAACATACTGTATGTCCCCAAAATGCAGTGCGGTTAGACAATGGTGGTGCAGAAGAGAGTCGTACTGTCTCAGCTCTCTCTCAATTCAATTCAAAGGGTGCTGAAGTGATATGATTTTTGGGATGGTTTTGCTCGTCGTGAAATTCAATTCCCGCATTCCAAACTAGTGGAGGTCTCATATGCGAAACTAGGTTGTACTCCGTAATATAGCAATAGATTGCAGAAGGAAATGGGAGGATTTGAAACAATGTAATCTGCACAATTCTAGCTCCGAGATTTGTAGTTCGTAGACCAAATTAAAGTCATTAAAATATTTTTATTTAGTCTACAATATAAACAAAATGTGTTATATACATACACTTAACATGATTGTAGCTCTAGATCTAGGATTTTTCTAAAGCTCATGTGACAGCTCTACGAAATCCACAGATCTTCTAGAGCTATACAGCACTATTGCAAAAGGAAATGGGGGAATTCGAAACAATGTATGTAGTGCTAAGAAATGAAAATTACTACTACCTCAATATAATAATATGAATCAGAGGGAGCTAGCCTCAATGGAGGATTACATGTATGGTTAATGCCGAATTCTGCAACCAGATTCTCTAGCGCAAACCCACACACACTGCAAACACTGCTAGTCCTAGAACTAGAAGGGGGGTAAACAAAAAGGACACCCGGCTGTAGTTCTTCCATCAAGCAGCTACTGCTAGTAGTACTACTACACTAGGCTGGCTAGCGGTAAATAAAAAGAAAAAAAAAAGATCTAGAGCACCAGTGCAGCCCAGATCCCCGTCCTGTCCTCCACCCTGTACATCCTAAAAGATTGTACCTAGGGGCTAAAACCGTAAAAGCGCAGACGTCTGCACGTCTCCAGCGACAGCGGCGGACGGGCGGAGAGCAGCAAGCACAGGGGCGGCGGCGCCTGCACGCCTAGGCGTAACATCCGGCGGCGGAGGGCGAGGGGTCGTGGGAGAGGCGGAGCAGGAGGCGGCGGAAGTCGGCGACGGGGCAGGGGATGCGGAGCGCGCCGGGGTGCGCGTACCCGTACTCCTGCGCGGCGCGGCGGAGGAGCGCGGCGAACGGCGGCTCGCCCAGCAGCTCGGCGCGCACGGCGAACCGCTCCACGGGCCCGCCCTCCTCGCCCACGCACACGGGGACGTGGCCCTCCGGCACCGCCCCAGGCTTCTTCCCCTTCCTCCTGCTGGGCCGCGACGCCGGGCCGCCGCTGTCCTCGCCCGCCGCCGCCACCGTGCGGGAGAGCCGCCTCAGGAGCCGCTTCATGGCTTGGTGTCGGGTTGGAGCGATGAGTGGGAACTCGGAAAGGCGGTTGGTTGTTCCTTGGAGCGAGCGAGGCTCGGGGCACGAGGTGGCGTTTGGCTGCTGCTGCGGGAGGGACTGGGACTGTGACTGGGACTGGGAGCTCCGCGCTTTATAGAAAGAGAAGAAGGCGGAGGGGAGGCGTCGTACAAGATTTGTACCCGGCGGGTACAGGGGCGGCGACCCGGAGAAGGGGGGACAGAGAGCCGGTGGGCCGGGCCCGAGTTGCCGGCCTAACCATGGCCGGCCCTTTTAAGGAGCCACCCACCGGGGGAGTGGACTGCATGCCGTGGTCCGTGGTCCCTGCTGCCGTGCCATGCCAGCGCGATTTTTTTAAACATTTTTTAAAACTACTTTTAAATCTAATATTATTTAATTTTTTTTATCAAAACTAACATTTTTTGTCGCGCCTATTGGCATGACGCGACGAAAAACCTGTGCCGCTGAAAGGTCCTTGTGTGGTTTTGGTAATTGAGTGACAACCTAGGTGGACTAATTATGTTTATATGAGATACACATATGATTAGTTCACAGGTACATATGTGTGAGCAACATATGCCATGAATGTGAAAATGGCTCGGAGATGTTACAAAGCTCACACATGTGATAATGAAGGAGCTCATTGCAAATGAGACATGACATTTAGTCATGTGATTAAGATGGAGAAGATCAAGACATGACTTGGTTTGATGGACCGGTTGCAAGCGTGAATGGCAAGTCGGAGGCTTTGGAGCGATGGACCGCGTGGCGGTGAAGCTTGAGCAATACTTGGCGCCGATGGATGAAGGCAACGGTGAAAAGCAAGTGAATTCAAGATCGATGAACCAATATGATCACGTGATGATATGAAGTAGATCATATCATTGTTGATCATGTTGGTGCATGTGTTGCATCGACATTGGAGGAGATAGAATGGAATGCGCAAGGCAAATGTATAACTTAGGGCATTTTATTTCACCGATCATAGGTGTGTAGAGAAGTTGATGACCGGGTTTAGGATAGATGGCCGTACTATCAAGAGGGGCAAACTTGTTTACATATCGGTCATCTAGTGCCACTCGAGTGATCTAACTTTGCATCGTCGCTAGGATTGAATGGCGTGGCAAGTTGAGTGGCTAATCCTTTAGGAAATGATTGTGAAAATGCTAATACACATACAAATGATGTTGTACACTTGGTGGTGTTGGCACATTTACAAAGGAGATGAAATTGGAGTTGATACGGATCAACTCGGCGATAGAACGGAGGCGAGAAGGGTTCAAAACTCCACCGGCACCCTATATGGAAAAGATAGGGTCTCACAGAGTGGACCGGACGCTGGTCACGTAGTGACCGGACGATGGGGTCCTGCGTCCGGTCAGTGACAGCAGAGAGCGTGCTGGCGTCGGTCTTCGACCGGATGCTGGCGCTGAAAGTGACCGGACGTTGGCAGGGTGCGTCCGGTCAGGCTAACGTATGGTGACCTAGGCGACGTAGAAAAGTTGAAGAAGAACAAGACGCTGATGCCGCGTCCGATCGTGACCGACCGGACGCGTCCGGTCGCGACTGGTACCTTACTGAAAACGACCGGACGCTGGGGTTGCTGCGTCCGGTCACTTTGAGCTACAACGTCCGGTCGCAACTTGACCGTTGAGATCAGGCGATCAGCGTTTGAAGTAGGAGACACGTGGCGTGCATCGCACGACCGGACGCTGGGGTCCAGCGTCCGGTCGATCTGACCGGAGCGTCCGGTCGTCCCGAGTTTTGCTCAGTGAAAGGGTAACGGCTAGTTTAGCCAGTGGGGCTATAAATAGAAGGGTGTCTCGGCCATGGCTGGCAGAGAGCACCTTGGGGGACTTTGTGTCCATGCTTGAGAGTGCTTGGGAGCCATCCATCTCACATATGCTTGATAGTGATCATCCGATTGTGTGAGAGAGCGATTCTAGTGCGATTGCATCGTGAGGTTGCATCGAGTGGCACTAGATGATCGAGTTGCAAGCCGGTGGTGCTTGTTACTCTTGAAGGTTGCCACCTCCTAGACGGCTTGGGGGTGGTCTCCGTCGAAGCCCGCAAGAAGCTTGTGCGGTGCTCCGGAGAAGAGTTTTGTGAGGGGCATTGTGTTCGCCCCACGGGAGCCACGAAGAGCAACTCTAGTAAAGTGTGTCATTGAGCTACCCTCACTTTTGGGGTAGGTTCTTGTGGTACCCGACGTGCGGGCTTGGTGGGTGATGCCAATTAGCCACCGAACCACCAAGTGAGCGGTCGACACAATGGGGACTAGCGTGTTGGCAAGCACATGAACCTCGGGAGAAAAATCACCGTGTCAACCTTGTTCTTCCCATTAGTTTGCAATCCCCTTTCACAAGCTTGTATTTATATTTCATATACATTGTGCTTGTGTAGTTGCTCTTATAATTAGTTAGCTTGTGTAGCTTACTAGTTACCTTTTTGCTTGTGTAGCATAGAAGTAGCTCCCTTGCGTGGCTAATTTAGTTTGTGTAACCTTATTAGTCACATTGCTTAGTTTGTGTAGCTAAGTAATTGCGCTCTCTAATTTGGCATTGGTTGCCTTATCGTTGAGCATTGTTAGTGAGCATTAGGTGGCTTTGTGCTTTTGCTTACTAGCATGTGTAGGAGCTCCCTTGTTGCTTAAAGTACTAGTGGCATAGGTTTGTGTGACCTTACTTTTAGAATTGGTTAGGTGAGCTCTAGCTAGCCCGACACCCTTGTTGATTAATTAGTATTTTTGAAAGATGCTAAGGAACATAGATAGAGGGGTGTAGTCTTGGCTAGACCAATAGTTTTAATTCCACACTTGTTTTGGTTAGCCGACGTGATTAATTTTAAAAAGGACTATTCACCCCCCCTCTAGTCCGCCATCTCAACCTTACAAGTGGTATCGGAGCTAGGTCTCTTATGTGTGGTCTTCACCGACCCAAGAGGATGGCGTCTAGTGGGCTAGATGTTTGTGAGACATATTTTTTATGGCACAAACTTTGCACTTTAGAAAAATCACATACTTGATCATTTTCGTGTAAAGGGACCTAAGTTTTGGTGGATTGTCACTAGTAGTCTCACTCATGTCTTGGACCATAGAAATCTCACCAAAGCTCAAAGAGTTATCTATAAACTTGATGCACATGCTTGTTGTCTTCTAATGGATGCATTGAGTTTTGATTTGATGAAACAAGTAAACTATATGGGAACCGCTCGTGAGATATAGGAGTCCATCAAGCGCACCTTCGGTGATTCCTCCACATGGGATGATGGCAAGTTCAAGAAGGATGTTGAGCTTAAGAAGGAGGCGCATGAGTGTGTCGAGCATGATCACAATTTGGTGATTGTGAAAGATTGCTCCACCTCATGGTCAAGTGATGATGATGATGATGATTGATTTACTACAAGTTCACTTGACAAGGTTGATGATGATGCCACAAGTGTTGCACATGAAGATTCTACCTCAAGCACACTTGGTGGTGATCTTGACGATGTTGGTTCATGCTCAAGCCATGATGATGATGCTACTACAAGCTCTCCTACTACACCACATTGTTTCATGTCACAAGGTGACACCAAGGTAATAAATAATAATGTGGTTGATCATATTGATTCATATGATGAGCTTGTTAGTAGACTTGCTAGCATGACCGTGTCGCATGACCGTGTCTTTAGAAAATGAGAAAGCTAAAACAATAAAATTAGAAAATAAAAACTCATTTCTAAAGAACTCTTGTGAAGAACATAAGAAATTATTTAATGTTTTTAAATCCTCACATGATGAGCTAAAATTGAATCATGAGACATTACTTGCATCTCATGAAGAATTATTAGAACAACATGCTTTTCTCAATAAAGTATTTACAAAGAAACTTAAAAATAATGAGAGCTCATCACATGGATCAAATGATAAATTGCAAAATATTGCTAACCCTTGTGATGTAGACAAGATGCATGTATCCACCTCTTGTGATGATTTATTAGATATGCCATGCTCTTCACAATTAGATGCTTGTTCTACTTCTATGTCTTGTGAGACTAACTTTTTGAAGGAGAACAATGAGCTCACTGAACAAGTGAAGAAATTGGACAACAAGTTAGAGAGGTGCTACAACTCTCAAGTCACCTTTGAGCATATGTTGAAGACTCAAAGAAACTTTGGTGGTAAGAGTGGCGTTGGCTTCAAGACTAGCAAAGTCAATCATCAAGAAAGCCGCAATGACATAAGTGGCATTGGCTTCAACAAGAGCAAGATCAAGGGCAAAAGATGGGGCAAGAGAAGATATGAAAGAGAGATGAAGAAGCAAGAATAAGAGAAACTCTCTCATTTCATGTGTTTCAAGTGCCATGAAGTGGGACATCTTGAAAATAGTTGCCCCAATGAAGAAAAGCTCAAGTTGAAGAAAGAAGAAGAGAGTCTCAAGCATGTGAAGTGCTTCAAGTGCCACACTTGGGGTCACCTTACCTCAATGTACCCAACCAAGCAATTGGTGAAGCAACTAGAAGAGCCTCAACAAAGCCACAAATTGAGCAAGAGAAGACACCCCAAGAGCAAATCAAGATCAACCATGAAGATGGTGGTGATTTGATGATAAAGAAGAAGAAAACTAGAAGGGGTGGAAAAGCAAGAGAAAGAGCAATGCGTCCAAGGATGAATCAAGATGTAAAGCAAGTGAGCAAGAACAAAGAAGAGAAAATGGAGAAGATTGCTCACATGAGATGCTATAGTTGTGACACATTGGGCCACCTAGCTTCGGGTTATCCAAACAAGCTTGAGAAGAAGGCTCAAGCAAACAAGAAGAAGCAAGGCAATGAGAAGCACAACATAAGCAAGGAAGAAAAGGCTCAAGCAAAGAGAAAGTGCTACTCATGCCGAGAAGGGGGACACATGGCACATTCATGTCCCCTAGGTAACACTCCTAAGCCTATTTTATTTGATGATGATTCTATACTTAGAAAGGATGGCAATGGTATCTCATTGGTTGCAA